AACAATACTGAACAAGTCAGGCCATGGCTATCAAACATCAGAAACATCTGCCAGGCTATCCTACCTCCTTTACATGGACAACCTGAAGTTCTATGGAAAAACAGAGGGGCTAATTCTGGCTGCACAAGACCAAGCCTTAAGAAATGCATACAAAGCCAGAATTGAGAAGACAGCAACAGACAGCAAATGCCGCCTCTGCAAAGAAGCTGGAGAAAGAGTGGGCCACCTAGTCAGCTGCTTCAAGAAGATCGCACAGACTGACTACAAACAACAGCATGACAAAGTAGCAACAATGGTACATTGGAATAACTACAAGAAATACCATTTGCCTGCAAACAAGAACTGGTGCGACCACAAAGCAGACAAAGTAATAGAAAATGAAGAAGCTAAAATGCTCTGGGACTTTAGAATTCAAATAAACAAGCACCTACCATACAACACCCCAGACTTAACAATTGTTGATAAGAAAGACAAAAAAGTCTGCATAGTAGATATTGCAATACCTGGAGGCAGCAGAATAGAAGAGAAAGAACTGGAGAAAATCACAAAATATAAAGTCCTGCGAATAGAAATAGAATGACTGTGGCAAAAGAAAGCAAAGACAGTACCAATAGTAATAGGCACCTTAGGTGCAATCCCAAAACATCTGGAGCACCACTTGAAGACCATTAAAAGAAAGCAAAGACAGTACCAATAGTAATAGGCACCTTAGGTGCAATCCCAAAACATCTGGAGCACCACTTGAAGACCATTAAAAGAAAGCAAAGACAGTACCAATAGTAATAGGCACCTTAGGTGCAATCCCAAAACATCTGGAGCACCACTTGAAGACCATTGGCATTGACAAAATCACCATCAGTCAATTGCAAAAGGCAGCTTTACTTGGAACAGCTTCTAGCCTGCGATGATACCTTTAACACCATCAAACCACAACATCTGCCTGTCCCAGGTTCTTGGGAAGAACTCAATCGGTGGATGAAAATGCCAAATCCAGTCCAAACATCTGGCTGACTGTGCAACCAACCATTATAATACATTGGTACAAAGCAGTAACACTACCCCTGATTCAAACATTATCTTCTGCAGTGTAACTGTTTGAAAGGAAAAAAGATAAAGCCTCCTATCCCACAAAGTCTAAGCGTAATGTAGCTCTATTATTCTTTTAGATCTCAGTCTGATCCATACTTGGCAGCAAGTAAATGACTGAAGAACAGCATCATGTAGTTGATTAGAACTAACAAGGACACATACCATTACTTTACTTATGACTAATATCTAAGCTATTTTGTTATTATGTCTCCTGACCCCCCACTTCTTATAACCCCTTTCCTCCAGCTTTACTACATTTCATGTATTTGACGTAGTGGGCTTGAAATTGATTCATGTGAAAGATGCTACAAAATGCTCTTGCTGCAAAAAAGTTGATATAATATTTCAATGTATTTTAACTAGCTATTTTATCTGCATTTTCAGCTTTTTTTCTTTTATCTTTATTGACGTTTTATTATATTTTATTGTATTAATGCTATTTACTGCCTTGCATACCATTTACTGAAAAACAAGATACATAAGTAACAAATAACTAAAATAAACATGATTAACGTGGACTATTTTTTTTTTTTTAATGAATTTAGTTCTTGGGAAGGGATCTAATTCACAGAAACAATGCATTAAGCATAATACAGTATTCCAAAGAAATGCAAGGTTTAAAACATGCAGAGTTCATTTCTAAACCATGATTCAATTTTGGGGAGTGGAAAAAAAGTTTCCAGTTATGCACATGACTATGCCATTCAAATAATCTCAGAAAACATTTCCGTTCAAATTACAAAATCGGTTTTCTGTGTCAGTGATAACAAATGTCTTCTAAGAAATACATTAGGGGAAAAATGATTATTTCTTAAAAGTTCTTGAAAGCATATTTTTTTCTTCTCAAATGTTATATTGTTGGTGGACTGTTAAGATACTTAACTCAGACTTCCTGACTACTGAAAGGTACATTTAATACAGTATCTGTCTTTTCGGTTCATAATGGTTTCATTATTGTTCATGGCACAATTATTATTATAGTTATTAATTCAATTAACAAAAATCATTATGGGTGGGGCGTGAAGATTCCAGGTCCCACTTACAGTTATGGCACGTGGCTCCACTGTATCCAGTCCCATCACAGGTGCAACTGAAGCTATCCCATGTTTGTGTACACTTCCCTCCATGCTCACAGTGATTGGGCACACACCTGTTGAGATATGAAAGAGTGACAAATAAGCAAGGATAAATGAATGCCAGCATTCTGGGATTGCCAAACAGCATAGCCTCCTGTGCCAATCTGCTGTACGACTGCAATTAATCCTTGTTAGCTTTAGGTGGATTAATATAATTCATGATAGAACATGGCAGGAGCATAAGAAGTTGATGTATTGTACAATGAATGCTCCATTCACAGTCAGCAATGGGTGAATGACAGGGAAGGGGAGTGAAGAGATAATGATGGATTATGGTTTTTTAAAACTCTATTCCATTTTTAAAGGTCACAAACATATCTTTTTTTTTAAAAGACAATTCGATATAGTATGCAGGTAAAGTTAACTTTTAATAGAAAGTATACTGCAGTATGCATTTAATTCTTTTTATAAAATATGTGGGTTTTTAAAATTTTATTTTACTTTATCACCAAGACAATAATGATAGCCCAGCCAATCTGAAAGAAAGCAATAATTGATTGTATTAAAAGCAGTAGGGATGTTGCTGGGTTCCCCCGGCATAAATCATTGACAGGCATGTTTTGAAGGGCCGTGGGCAAGTTACCCTCCTCAACTGCCTCTCCATACCCCAGCATCACAAATTTATCTTTTTCTCTGAGTAGTTGGGAGGCAAACTGTTTGCCTGTCATTTTGATAATGCTGAGTTGATCTCCAGGTCTTGTGATGCTTCTGTGTCATCACATACAGTATATGTCAGTGGCATGCTAGCATAATAAAGATTATCTGCATTCATGAATTAAGATATAAAGCATACACAAGAGTTTTGCTGTAATCCCTAGTCTGTAGAGTAGTTGAGAAGTCCAAAAATAACTTGGAAGAAGACAACATCAAACCACTTTGGTACTGTTGCCAGAAAACTGCATAGATATATCCATGGTCACCAAGAGCTAAACAAAAGGTCTCAAGGAGACTTGACTTTTCCATCCTGGTGTTAGGCATCTCCTTAGCCTGCATCTGTATCCTGTTGAATCATATCAACTGTAGTAATGACAACTCAGTGATGACAGGTGGGGACCTGGGCATCTAGGCAGGCTGACTGATGCTGTTTCAGCACTAAATCCCTGGACTGAAATTAAAGTCAGTCAGGATTCCCAATATAATACAACAAAACAAAACAAAAACCCTAATGTCTAGAATTATCTAGCCAGAACTC